TGGAGGATCCAACCGATTTCCAACGCGGAACAGCCCAAAAAAGTTGGAGCCAACGTCAACAGAAAAACCGCTGTGGTAACCACAGGCGCCAAAACCACGGCCATGGGCTCGCGCACGCTGTTGTTTTGTACGGTACAGAGCACTTTTTCCCGCGTAGAAGGGACGCGTACGCTTAGGATAGCGAACCCAATAATATGCATCCCATCGCCAACAAAAAAAAGGTTGACGTTGTTGATCATTTTCCCTTTCTCTGATACTTTTCCATCAAGAGGTTTGACTTATATAAAGAGAACTATACGGGGATCCGCCAATTGCGTGCTTAGACCTGTTCCACTTGACTTCTGCTATCTCTGAAAACGACCGCTGAGTTATTCGAGTGACCCGGCCTTTACTGAGAAGAAACAAGTGTTGATACCGAGCCCGAAGGAGGATTAGCTTACACCACACACCACACCGCTGCTAACACTCTTCGTTGTTCGATTCCTTATTCTCTGCTGCCTGACTGAGCTTGTCTATTTGCACCGGGCCATACCATTGAAAAGCGCTGAATATCGTCACCGTCAAACCCGCCGGCTCCTGCCCTTTGCTCCAGTCTACACACACATAAACAGTAACGAGCGGTAAGTGTGCAACACCCATACGCCGCACTTTTGATCCGTACTAACAGAGCCACGTATAGCACAGTTGACCATGACGGGCGCTCTCACTCCAAACTACACCAACTCGTCGTTGAGACCGCTGACGCTGTCCCACGGCTCCATCGAGTATACCTTGTTGGTGCCAACAAACTTGCTCTTTGTCGCCTCTGAACTGAAAGAACAGTTCCAGAAGCAATTGCCTGAGGTCACAGAGGGCTTTGCAGGTGAAGATGAGCCAAGCTCTCCAACAGAGCTGTTGGCTGGCTTCCTGGGCTACATCGCGGGACTCATTGACCCTAACGTCTCGGGTCAGTTCGACCAGGTGTTGGCCCTCGTCCTCTCAGAGTTCGAGGCCACGTACTTGAACGGTAATGACGTCCACACAGTGGCTTCAGGGTTGTTGACATCCGAGGAGTATCCGACTACCCTGGAAAAGGCTAAGGTTGTTGTCAAGCACTACTTTGCTGCCAGATTGGCCAGCAACAAGCCATTCAAGAAGTACGACTCGGCACTGTTCAGATCGGTCTTGAACAATGAGGCCAAATTGGTGGCCATCTTCGGTGGTCAAGGTAATACCGAGGACTACTTTGAAGAGCTCAGAGAGCTCTACAACATCTACGGTGGCTTGGTTGCTGATATCATCAAGGCCGCGGCTGATAAGCTGAACGATCTGGTCAGAGCCACTCCAGATACTGAGAAGATTTATACACAAGGTTCAGACCTTATCACTTGGTTACAGAACCCTGAGAAGACCCCATCCAGTGAATATTTGCTGTCGATTCCAGTGTCTTGTCCTTTGATCTGTGTCATCCAATTGGCTCACTATGCCATCACTGCCAGAGTCCTCGGAATGACTCCAGGTGAGTTGAGAAGTTACTTTTCTGGTGCAACCGGTCATTCCCAAGGTTTGACAATCGCTTTGGCAATTGCCGAGGCTGATTCCTGGGAATCCTTTATCGAGTCATTGAACAAGTCCATCGCTTTCATGTTCTACATTGGTGTCCGTTGTTACCAAGTTTATCCAAACACCGCACTTCCACCTTCAATCTTGGAGGATTCTATCGAAAACGGTGAAGGTAATCCATACCCAATGTTGTCGGTGAGAGACCTGACTAAGGAACAGGTTCAAGACTTTGTTGATCAAACCAACGCTCACTTGCCAAAGGAGAAGCACATTGCTATTTCATTGGTCAACGGTGCTAGAAACTTGGTTGTCTCTGGTCCTCCACAGTCTCTTTACGGTTTTAACTTGACTTTGAGAAAGGCTAAGGCACCTGCTGGTTTGGACCAGGCTAGAATCCCTTACTCTGAGAGAAAACTCAAATTCTCTAACAGATTCTTACCAATTACCTCTCCTTTCCATTGTCATCTGCTCGCTGATGCATTCGATTTAGTTGAAGAAGATTTGCAAAGAGAAGGCTTGGAATTCAAACAATCCGACTTGAAGATTCCTGTTTACGACACATTTGACGGTACTGATTTGCGTGACTTCAAGGGTTCTGTTATTAACAGATTGAACTTGCTTATCACCAAGTTGCCAGTCAACTGGGAGTTGGCCACTCAATTCGAGGCTACCCACTTGGTTGACTTTGGTCCAGGTGGTGCTTCTGGTCTTGGTGTTTTGACTCACCGTAACAAGGATGGTACGGGTGTTCGTGTCATCATTGCTGGTGTCTTGGATAACTCCATTGATGATGAGTTTGGTTACAAGCAGGAATTGTTCGACTTGAACGACAATGTTAAGTTTGCCCAAAACTGGTTACTTGAGTACCAACCAAAATTGGTGAAGACTAAGGGTGGTAAGGTTTACGTTGATACCAAGTTTTCCAGACTTCTCGGTAGAGCCCCAATCTTGGTTCCAGGTATGACTCCAACCACTGTTCACCCAGACTTTGTTGCTGCTACTTTGAACGCTGGTTACCACATTGAAATTGCAGGTGGTGGTTACTTTGACCCAAAGACCTTCACTGATGCTTTGGAGAAGGTTTCTGCTCAAGTTCCAGCCGGTACTGGTATCGGTATCAACTTGATCTATGTCAACCCAAGAATGTTGCAATGGGGTATTCCGTTGATTGGTGAATTGAGACAAAAGGGATTCCCAATCCAATCTTTGACCATTGGTGCCGGTGTCCCATCTTTGGAGGTTGCCACTGAGTACATTGAGACTCTTGGTTTGACTCATTTGGGTTTGAAGCCAGGTTCTGTTGAATCCATCTCTCAAGCCATTGCCATTGCCAAAGCCCATCCAACTTTCCCAATCGTCTTGCAATGGACCGGTGGTCGTGGTGGTGGTCACCACTCTTTTGAAGACTTCCATGCACCAATCTTGCAAATGTACTCTAAGATTAGAAGATGTCCAAATATCTCTTTGATTGCCGGTTCAGGGTTTGGTTCTGCCGAGGATACGTACCCATACTTGACTGGTGAGTGGTCTGCTAAGTTCAACTACCCACCAATGCCATTTGATGGTGTTTTGACCGGTTCTAGAGTTATGATTGCCAAAGAGGCATTCACTTCTCCAGATGCTAAGAAGGCCATTGCTGCAGCTCCTGGTGTTCCAGACTCTCAATGGGAGCAAACGTACAAGAAGCCAACAGGTGGTATCATCACTGTCAGATCCGAGATGGGCGAGCCAATTCACAAACTGGCTACACGTGGTGTTATGTTGTGGCACGAGATGGACAACACCATTTTCAACTTGCCAAAGAACAAACTCCAAGATGCTTTGGATAAGAAGAAGGACTATATCATCAAGAAGTTGAACGATGATTTCCAAAAGCCATGGTTCTCCACTATTGATGGTAAGGTTTACGATCTCCAAGATTTGACTTATGAGCAAATCGCAAAGAGAATGGTTGAACTTATGTATGTTAGAGGCTCCAAGAGATGGATTGATGTTTCTTTGAGAAACTGCACTGGTACCTTCTTGCGTCGTGTTGAGGAACGTTTCACCACTCAGGTCACCACTTCTGTCTTGCCATCCTTCACTGCTTTGGAGAACCCAGACGAGGCTATTGAGACTGTCTTTGCTGCCTACCCAGGTGCTAAGACCCAGTTGATCAACCAACAAGATATTGACTATTTCTTGACATTGTGTACCAACCCAGTTCAGAAGCCAGTTCCATTCGTTCCTGTGTTGGATTCGAGATTTGAAGTCTTCTTCAAGAAGGATTCATTGTGGCAATCTGAAGACTTGGAGGCTGTTGTCGATCAAGATGTCCAAAGAACATGTATCTTGCATGGTCCTGTTGCTGCTCAATTCACCAACGATGTTGATGAGCCAGTCAAGTCCATTTTGGATGGTATTCACGAGGGTCACATCCAGAAGTTAGTTAAGGACCGTTATGGTGGTGATGCTTCCAAGATCCCAGTTGTTGAGTACTTTGGTGGAGAGGAGCCTGTTTCTGTGAAGTATGATGCAGTTGAATCTGGTAACAAGGTTATATACACTGCTTCCAACTCTACTGATCCTGCGGAGTGGTTTAAGTTGTTGGCCGGTCCAAAGCGTTCATGGAGACATGCATTTATTTCCACACACCGTGTTGTTCAAGGCCACAACTTTGTTTCCAACCCAGCAACTCAAGTTTTGGCTCCAGCTAAGGGTGTCGTTGTTGAGATTGTCAACCCAGACGAACCATCAAAGACAGTTTTGACTGTCTCTGAGCCAATTCAGGGCAAGCTTCAACCAGTCGTCACTTTGAAGGCTTTGGATGCCACTACTATTGAGTTGTCATTGATCGAGCATAGAAACGTCAAGAGGGAGTCTGTTGCTCTTCCACTTCTTTACAAGTTCAACCCTGAAGATGGATTTGCTCCTATCATTGAGATCACTGAGAATCGTAACGATCGTATCAAGGAGTTCTACTGGAAGCTGTGGTTCAATGAGCCATTCAACCTTGACATTGATGTTCACAAGCCAATTCCAGGTGACGAGATCACCATTACTGGCAAGGATATTGCCGAGTTCACTCACGCTGTCGGTAACAAGTGTGAGGATTTCGTTTCCAGATCTGGTAGAAAGCAATTGGCACCTATGGACTTTGCCATTGTTGTCGGTTGGCAATCAATCATCAAAGCTATCTTCCCTAAGACCGTTGATGGTGATTTGTTGAGATTGGTTCACCTCTCTAACTCGTACAAAATGTACCCAGGTGCTGCTCCATTGGCTAAGGGAGATGTTGTCTCTTCTGTTGCTGAAATCAGATCTGTGATTAACCAGGAGAACGGTAAGGTTGTGGAAGTGGTTGGTGTTGTTTCTAGAAAGGGCGAACCAGTTCTTGAAGTTGCTTCCTCATTCTTCTACAGAGGCGAATACAACGACTTTGAGAATACTTTCTCCAAGATCACTGAAGCCCCATTCCAACTCCACATCAAGTCAGCAAAGGACATTGCTGTTTTGAAATCTAAGGAGTGGTTTGAATTGGAGAAGGATGTGGACTTGTTGAACGAAACCTTGACTTTCGAGCTTGAAACTGAATTGACATATAAGAACAAGACCATCTTCAACTCTGTCAAGTCTAGTGGTAAGGTCTTGCTTGAACTTCCAACCAAGGAAATTATCCAAATTGGTTCTGTTGATTATGAAGCCGGTGAGTCACACGGTAACCCAGTTGTTGATTACTTGACTAGAAACGGTACCACCATCGAACAGAGTGTCAAGTTCGAGAATAGCATTCCAATCACTAGTGTTGAAGCTCGTGCTCCAGGTACCAACGAACCATATGCTGTTGTCTCTGGTGACTACAACCCTATCCACGTTTCTCGTGTGTTCTCCAGATATGCCAACTTGCCAGGCACTATTACTCATGGTATGTACTCAAGTGCTGCTGTGCGTGCCATTGTCGAATCTTGGGCTGCTGATTCTGCTTCCCACAGAGTTCGTGCATTCTCTGTCAACTTTGTTGGTATGGTTTTGCCAAATGACACACTGACTACACGCTTGGAACACGTCGGTATGATCAATGGTCGTAAGATCATCAAGGTTGAAACTGTGAACGAGAATGGTGACATTGTTCTGACGGGTGAAGCAGAGATTGACCAGCCAGTGACTACTTTCGTCTTCACTGGTCAAGGTTCTCAAGAGCAAGGTATGGGTATGGACCTGTACGAGAAGTCCGAGGTTGCAAGAAACGTTTGGGACAGAGCCGACGTTCATTTCTTGAACACCTATGGTTTCTCTATCATTGATATTGTGAAGAACAACCCAAGCGAGTTGACTATTCACTTTGGTGGTGAAAAGGGTAGAGCCATTAGAGAAAACTACACCAAGATGACATTTGAAACTCTTGTTGATGGTGCCATTGTCTCTGAAAAGATCTTCAAGGAGATTGATGAGAAGACTACTTCTTTCACATTCAAGAACCCAGGTGGTTTGATCTCTGCCACTCAGTTTACACAACCTGCATTGACGTTGATGGAAAAGGCTTCCTTCGAGGATTTGAAGGCTAAAGGCTTAATTCCAGCTGATTGTATCTTTGCTGGTCACTCTTTGGGTGAATATGCTTCTTTGGCTTCTCTCGCTGAGGTTATGTCTATTGAGTCCCTTGTGGAGATTGTGTTCTACAGAGGTATGACCATGCAAGTTGCTGTTCCAAGAGATTCTTTGGGAAGATCCAACTATGGTATGATTGCCGTCAACCCATCGAGAATCTCCCCAACCTTCAACCATGAGGCTTTGACCTTTGTTGTTGATGCAGTGGGCAAGAGAACAGAGTGGTTGTGTGAAATTGTTAACTTCAACGTTGAGAACCAGCAATATGTTACCGCTGGTGACCTGCGTGGGTTGGACACTTTGACAAACGTTTTGAACTTTATCAAACTCCAAAAGATCGACATCTCCAAATTGAGAGAGTCCATGTCAATTGAAAAGGTTGAGGAGCACTTGAATGAGATTATTGATGAGATTTCCAAAAAGTCACTTGCTAAGCCACAACCAATTGAGTTAGAGAGAGGTTTCGCATGTATTCCACTTCGTGGTATCTCAGTTCCATTCCACTCCAGTTACTTGAGAAATGGTGTTAAGCCATTCAAGAAGTTCTTGGAGAAGAACATCTTGAAGGAGAACGTCAAGACTGATAAGTTGATTGGCAAGTATATTCCAAACTTGACTGCTAAGCCATTTGCTGTCACCAAGGAATACTTTGAGGATGTCTATGCGTTGACCAAGTCCGATAAGATCAAGGATGTTCTTGATAACTGGGAGAAGTATCAACAATAAGACAATCGTTTATTGTTTTAATATCTCAGCGACGTGCTTCTGAGTTTGATTTGTTAGTGTGGTGTTAATAAGTCGAGCCATGTGGTACGACTCGTTACTTTCTCCTGGTTTATAACTTATCGCTACTTGTTTCTTTTGCATTGGACATTTGGGTGTGAACTTGATGCGTTTTCGTTCCTAATTAATTATACATTATGAAGTTTGCTTTTTTGTTTTGGTTATAGAACATGTCTTATTCTATGTAGTACTGCTTTATTCGAGGACGTGCAATGATAGATCAGTGAACGAATTCAGCCACGGGCCTTCTTCGAACTCCTTGTAGCTTGTGAGTGATGGCTTGGAGAAATACGCATCTATGATTGAATAGTCGAGTTCTTTCTCCACGTATCTGTTCTTGTTTGGTCTTCTGTTTTTCCTCTTGGACACCACGGGCTGGAAGTCATCGACAGGTGGCTTCGTACTTTGCTCGAGTTGATAGACCACCCTTGCCAACAACGGGTATTTCTCATATAGGTCGGATTTGCTCATTCTCTCTGTGTGGCTCAGCACGTTGTTAGACAAGAGATACCTTGGGTGTTCGTTGAGCACACAGCTGGTGAGAGTCAGTGGTGCATGTGGCAGGAAGTAAAGAGTGAGGTGCAAATCAACAGGCGTGTACTGTTCTTCCACGATGTAGCCAACCTTCTCGAAATAGGCCTTATCGAGGCGAGTGAAGACCGGGTCGTAGAGAGAGATCTCCTCCACACCTTTAGCCTTAGCAATGGCCATGAGAAGAGCCAGCTGGTAGAGTGCAGGCTCTTCTTGACACGGTGATCCAAGTGCAACGCATCGTATTCTCTCAAGGCGCACAGTCTCCAATGACTTCTCAATCTGTGCGAAGAGAGCACTTTCCACCACGGTATTGAAAGCAGCCTCCAGATTCGTCTCAAAAGCCCGTATCGACCCTTCAGACGCGCACGTCGGATCCTGGATCCCAGGCAGTTTCCGTCTGTTCTTAGTCTGTACGAACTGCTCCATCTCTACTCCAATCCCACCGCTATGACACCCATATTCTCCCTCCATCTCATCGCTCAATGCTCATCGCTCTTCGGTGTTGAAGTAGAGGGTCGATATTGTCGGTACGGGACGCAGCTTGCACGTGACTGGCACACTGCGTCCGGGTAACCCCGTATCGCCCTTGCTTTCCCGTTTGGGCAACCCAAGTTATCCTGATATCTCCGAGAGTCCGACGGGAGAAAGTTGGGGGCCATCACAAAAAAAATTTCAGATGGGATTGGAAGAGTTTGTATTGGCTGTTTTTTCAGATGATACACAATTTTAGCTGAAGTTTGATACAATTCCTTCTCCTTTGTGTGTCATTATTGATTACCAAAGCCTTGTCTTATCTACCTGAACTGTCTGGTTGGGTTTATAAGTCGAATATCGAGCAAAGAAGAAGAAGCTGGAAGCGCTGAAAGGGAACAAGGTACGAGTCCATCTCATCGGATTGGTTGCATCCCCAGATTTGTTTCACTGAAGTCATTCACAACACCGGAAAAGAGGAGAGCTATAATCTCTGGTTAGGCTTCCTTTGTCTTCTATCGTCGTTCTATTGTGCCCCCCCTTAAAGTTCTTTAATCGTGTCGTGCTTCAACAACAAGGCCAACCCGTTCACCGAGAACTCCAAGATGCGCAAGTGTAAAGTGTTTGTTGGTAACTCTCACCCAGAGCTCGGGCAACTCATCTGTGCCAAGTTGGGTGTTGAGCCTGCGCCTTGCACTCTGAAGAAGTTCTCGAACGGTGAAACTTCGGTTCAAATTGGTGTCTCCGTCCGTGATGAGGATGTGTATGTCATACAGAGTGGTTCCGGTGACATCAACGACCATATTATGGAGTTGCTGATTCTCGTCTCTGCCTGTAGAGGTGGATCTGCGAAGAAGATCACGGCTGTGATTCCACAGTTCCCGTACTCTAAGCAGTCAAAGATGAAGAAGCACAGAGGTGCTATCACTGCGAGAATGTTGGCTAACTTGCTCATCATGGCTGGTGCTGATCATATCATTTCCATGGACTTGCACGCTTCCCAGATGCAAGGCTTCTTCTCCAAGCCAGTTGACAACTTGTACGGTGCACCAAGTCTTGCCAAATGGATCAGAGAGAACGTGGATGATTACAAGAATGCCGTTGTCGTGTCCAAGAACCCAGGTGGTACGAAGAGAGTTACTGCTTTGGCTGATTCCTTGAAGATCAACTTTGCCATGATTCACACTGACCGTCGTCGTACTGCGGATGTATTGGCTCAAAAGAAGAAGGAGGCCAAGCAGAGAAGACAGAGTGCCGTCAGAAGACGTTCAAGTAACAAGAGAAGCGACACTCTTGATGAAGATGAAGTGGAGAACATCATCTTGTCAAACGGGCTACAGACGGCCCGTATTGTCAAGGGCCATGTTGTCGATGACGACTACATTGCAGAGGCTGTAGTGGAGGAAGATGATGAGTCCGAGGACGGTGAGATTCCACACGACCAGACTTCGTATGCTCTTGGTGGCACTTACGACGCTGACGACTCCGATGCTGATGATGAGCCAGCTGCCCTTTCACAGGAGAAGCTCATCACCCTTGTTGGTAACGTTAAAGAACGTTCTGTGATCATCCTCGATGATATGATTGACAGACCAGGCTCATTCATTGCAGCAGCTGAACACTGTCGTCTCAACTGTGGTGCTAAGAAGGTGTATGTTGTTGCTACACATGGATTGTTCATTGATGATTGTTTGCAAGAGTTGAACAACTCTCAATACATTGATCAAGTTGTCGTCACAAACACTTATCCTTTGACTGAAGAGAAGAAGACATGTCCAAAGCTCGTCACCATTGACATTGCTCCAATCCTTGCCGAGTGTATCCGTCGTGATCACTATGGTGAGAGTATCTCAGTCTTGTTTGACTCACTAAGCACTCTCTAGAGTCATATTCCGATTCTTCGTCTTTATATCGAAACTCTTTTATAAAAGTACTAAAAGGCATCATCACACATATATAAAGGTTGTTTTCTTCTTATGCATTTATATAACATGGTGTAGCATTCAGGTGATTGGAAGTAAGACTAGTGCATCAACTCATTTCGGAGCTTGTAATGGGCTAGAGATATTCACTGCTGTGAACTTCTTTGGCAACGAAACGATCTTGAACTTGCTCTTCATCTTTTGAGTAACCAGATCGAAGTCCAAATGCTTTGTCAAACTGATCTTTGGAATACATGAAATATAGTGCTTGTCATCCAACTCAACATCCAAAGGATCTTGCGTATGACACCCTGGAGACAGTTTGAATCTGATGGAATGATTCTTACCAGCGTCGTCCTCGTACAGTTCGAAGATAATCTGAGACAGATAGTCCAATTCAGGCAAGTCATTTCTGTTGATGCGAAGTTGGATACCACCACCGTAGATGATATTCAACAGAGTGTACATATGACTCTCCTTGGTGAAGTAGGCAATCATACCAGGCTTGTCGTTTTTGATAATATCGTGTAGATCACCGAGAATCTTTCTAGCCAGTGGAACAGAAGTTAACAGTCCAATCTCGAGCTTCTCAGCTTGCGTGATACCATACTCCTGTGGACAGATGAAGTCGAACAGTACTTGAGAGAGCTTGTACAGCTCTCTCAAATATTTAAAGATTTGATCATCAAAGAGGAAGTGATTGTGTGCTTGAATCTCACTAGCCTGGAACAGCTTCAAGTGTTCTGGATACTCATCAATGAGCAACGTTGACTTACTTGGCTTCTCGATGGAGCTCACAGGCGAGAAGATCCTCTCCAAGAACTCCCTGTTATGAAGAGCATCAAATTTCATTGTATCGTACAATTCTGAAATCTTCGATGGGTCAACCTTCTCCAAGTTGGTGAACTCTTTGAACAGCTTATTCCATCTTTCAACAAATAGAGATGGATCTTCACCAGAACACCACTCTAATTTCATATCATCGAATGTATCGTGTTCAACGTGATACTCCATGATCTTTTGGTGGTAGTTCATCAACTCAACAACCCTTTTAATCACATAGTAAGGCTCGGGCATCTTTGGTGGCCAAGTAAACTGTGGTGGTGCTTCTTTTCCCTCCCTAAGCAATGGTTTGAGTCTCTTTTTCACTTTATCCATCAAATCCTTTGCTGCGTTACTGTCGTCTAATAAATCCTTTCTTATTTGAATCAGCCCTTCAGGAACTGGTCCATCCAGCAACGACTGAGCCCAGAAGTTGGCAGATGTCAAGACTCTTCTCTCAGAGGATGAGAAGATTTGAATGTCGTTCAAGATATCCTTGTTCAGCAACTCCATGTCTTGTCTCATCTGCTCACCAAGATCGGAGGCCTGATAGCGTGCCGAGTGAGTTGCCTCACCACCCCATTTCAAGATGAACTGAACCTTTTCCACCTCATTTTCGCTATCCAGGACAGGTTTCAATTGAATCTTGGTACCAGGGAAGTTCAGTTTCTTTGACAACGTATTTGCCAAAAGCTCCAACTTGGCTGGGTCCTCCAACTTCTGCTCTTGAGCGATTCGGATGGCTTTGAGGACGATTTCCAGGTCAGAAACTTCTCTAATAATGACCTCTTCTTTGTATCCCTTCAGCAAGGAGATGAATATTGGTGATCTGAACGAATACTTGAACTTTTGCTTTGGGGTTCTGTCAGCATGACGAACCACAGTGACTATACCCTTGAGGATCCATTTCTGTTGTTTCTCCTCTGCTGGTGCTTCATGTGTGACCAGCTTGTGAACATCTCTAATCTTCTTTGCCTGGAAGAACATATCTCTCAGTATCTTAGCACAACTATCGTAATACTCAGTGTTATCCTTGACGAATGAGAATCCATTGACGTCGATAACGTAACTCTTACCACCAACCCTCAACAGGTCAAATCCACAGATCGTCTGCGCAAAAGCATTGGAAACGTGCTTTGCCATGGTTTTCTCCTCCTCACTGAGCTCAGTGATGTATCTGATTTCCTTACCATGGGTGTTTCTTCTAACGATACCATCAACAACAGGCGACTTTCTGGTCTCAGCATGGCAGAATTCAGGACCCACGGTGTACGCCTTGACGTCCTCAAAGTTGTTTGTATCCATGAACTTCTCATAGATGTAGGAGCCTTGAGTTCTTGGTGTTGACAGTTTTGGATCAAACTCCGACGACTTGTTACCAACCTTTCTGAACAGACGGCGGCCACCACCACCAGACTTCTTTGCGTAGTAGATGTAAACATTGTGATCTTCTCCATCCACCGGCTTCTCAACAAACGGTTTGGAAAGCCTCTTGCCATCGACTTCGATGGTGTCTTCATCAATCATCTTCCATTCAGGCTCGGGAGTATACTGAACGTCAACGCCCTTCTGTTTCAAGGCCTCTTTCAACTCATCATCAACTCTCGGACCGCCGTCTCTGGAGATCACCAGTCTCTCAGGAGTTGGAACGCCGGCACTGTTGAGCAGTGCAAGACACAATCGTCTATCCCAGAGGGCCTTTTGCATCACCAAATCGTTGATGATGTAGGGCTTGCGCAGCTTAACATAGTTGATCGCCTTATCAAGGGGGAACCCCTTTGAGAAGAAGCTGATCAAAAAGTCACAGGTTGGCCAATTCTCAACAGACTCATCCAGTATCACCTTATCACCAAAGATAACCGTCTCGAACTCACCGTTCTCGATCAGCCTATTGAGGATCTGGCGGCACGGCTTGGAGAGCACCTTCGCATCCATAGCACAGACTCCAATCTTACCAATCTTTGGCAGTTGCAGCTTGGTCACCGAGTTGGAAGACTTACGCACCGGCGAAACGGTACCGCTCTTATCTGAGATAGCAGCTGGAGGCAAGTGCATCTGAGAATTGTTCTCACTGGACGAGGTCTTTGGAGAGAACCCTTCGAGAATCGGAGCAATCGACGCCATAGCCTTGTCGGAGTCATTGGACAATACCAACGGGGAAACGGGCACTTTCTTTATATCAATCGGATCAGCCATGGTTACTGAGAGGGCGATCTACGAGAACTGGTGTGTCTCCTCGGCTCTGCGTTCCAATATCCTCTTTCAACGGACTGGAATGGATAAATACTCCAAGGTGAAGGAAGAGGAAAGAGAAGAGTTCCTGCCCCATAAAAACAGATCATCGGTATTAAAAGCAGCCATTCGATGTTGCACGTGCGAAATTGGTGGTGTGCGGGTGACTAGGTGTACGGATGACTAGGTGTACGGATGGTGTCGTGGCCATACCGATGATAATTTTTCCAAGCTCATCGCACCTTTTTGGTGCTTTCGGCTCTTGTTCGAGTTCATGTTCGTATTCTCATTTGTATACATTCCGTGGTGTTTTTAACTGCTTAGCTTTACCAACGATTGAACATGCAAAGTGATAAGAGAAGGAAACTGGAGTCGTCAAAGAACGTGGTGAAACCTCGTATCTTTACTCCCTTCAGAACCATTGGTCAAACAACAACTGATTTACCATTTGCAGTGGGAACTCTTGGTTCGACTTTCTACATTGCAACTTCCGTCGGCCGTGCTTTCCAGATCTACGATGCAAACACTCTACACCTGTTGTTTGTCACAAAGGGTGAGCTACCAACTGCCATTACTGCGTTGACTGCTCATTTCCATTACCTATACGCTGCATATGGCAACACCATTGGTATCTTCAGAAGAGGTCAACTGGAGCATTCCATTGAAGTTGCAGAGCCAATAAAGAGACTCCTGGTGTTTGGTGAATACCTCGTTGGTGCCTCAGACGAGACGATTTACGTCTTTAAAAAGAATCAAGGATCAAAATATGCCACTGAGTTATACACCACGATCCCAATCTCCTCTGAGATCACCGGATTAGTCCATCCTCCTACTTATCTAAACAAGATTGTTGTCTTAACAACAACAGGTCTTCAGATCATCAATGTCCATTCCGGCAAGTTGATCTACATGGCTGAATTACCATATACACTGACAACCGTGGAATGTGCACCAGCTCTGGACATTGTGGCTATTGGTACGACAACTGGTGAGATCATCTTGTACAACCTGAAGAAGGGCAAGATCTTACGTACAATCAACACTGCTCACAGTGTGACCAGCGTATCTTTCAGAACAGATGGTCCAGCACATCTTGTTGCAGGCCATGCTAACGGTACTTTGGGCTTTTATGACCTGAATAGAAAGACACGTATTCACGTTGTGAATGCTCATAAAGAGAGTCATGGTGGTGTTTCTAAAGCTCAATTCCTCAATGGTCAACCCATCATTGTCACCAATGGTGGTGACAATCAATTGAAAGAGTTTGTCTTTGATCCATCCCTTTCTTCCAACGATGCTGTTGTTTCTCCTCCAAGACACTTGAGATCAAGAGGTGGGCACGCTGCGCCTGTTACTACTTTCCAATTCGCAGATGAAGCTGGCCACTATATCATCTCTGGTTCAGCAGACCGTACCGTGTGGAAGTTTTCCCTGAGAAAAGACGCACAGTCCCAAGAAATGTCTCAAAGAGCCCAGAAGAGAACTGATGGTAAAAGAGAGGGTGGTTCTAAAGAGAAGTTCCCAGAGACCATATCGTTGGCAATTGAAAACAACAGGGTTGGAGAATGGGAAAATGTAGTATCTGCCCATCAAGGTGATGTTGTTGCTCGTACATGGAGTTCTCAGAATAACAGAGTAGGAAGACACAAGTTGAGCACCATTGATGAGGGTACAGTGAAGGCTGTTGCGATATCACCATGTGGTAACTTTGCACTTGTTGGATCTGCAAATGGTGGAATTGGTGTGTATAACCTCCAGAGTGGTATACTGAGAAAGAAATACCAGTTGCATAAGAAGACCGTGACAGGATTGGCCCTCGACGGCATGAATAGAAAGATGGTTTCATGTGGCCTGGACGGTATCGTTGGATTCTACAACTTTTCAGAATCTAAGTATCTTGGTAAACTGGATTTGGGATCACCAATAACTACGATGGTTTATCATAGAACTTCTGACCTCTTTGCTATGGCATTGGACGACTTGTCCATTGTTGTCGTTGATTCGGTCACACAGAAGGTTGTGAGAGTGTTTTGGGGCCACTCGAACAGAATCACTTCGTTGGACTTCTCACCTGACGGACGTTGGATTGTTTCCTCATCTCTAGACTCAACTATCCGTACATGGGACATTCCAACAGGGTCATGCATTGATGGTATGAGATTACCACATGTTACAACAAATGTCAGATTCTCTCCATTGGGTGATTTCCTTGCAACAACACATGTATCTAAAGTTGGTATAAGTCTTTGGACCAATCGTGCGCAGTTTAGACCGGTGTCGACAAGAAACATCGAAGAAGAAGAGTTTGTCGATGTGACACTCTGTGCAACTACTGCTGCTTCTACTTTGTTAGATGGTGCATTCGATGATGGTGGGGACAGAGAGAAGTATAGCAACCATTATGAGTCCATGGATCAGATCAGCGATGACCTCATAACACTTTCTCTTGGTCCAAGATCAAAGTTCACTACTTTGCTAAACTTGGACACGATCAAGCTGCGTAACAAGCCGAAGGAAGCACCAAAGAAACCAAAGTCTGCACCATTCTTCCTTCAACTCTCAGGATCTGCTGTTGGTGACGATGCATCCGGTAGAGAGGGCAAGTCGGCCCATATTGGTGATAATGTCGATGATGGATCCTCTGAGTCACATCTACAAGAGTTGAAGCCTTTAAATGGAAGATTTGAAAGTGAATTCACCAAATTGTTGAGAGTGTGCTCAGGTACAAAGGACTACACCTCCTTCCTCAACTTCTTCGCTCAGGCACCACCCGCAGTTACGGATTTGGAAATTAAGTCCATCAACACGGTCAATTTGACTGAAATGACCTACTTCATCGAGGCCTTGACTCAAGGATACAAGTCTAACATCAATGTTGATCTTATTGAAGCGTGGATGTCAATGTTGATGAAGAATCATAGTGATGTGCTACATACAGTCGAAGATGAAGCATGTTCATTGGCATTAGATGGCTGGTACGATGCCCATAAGGGAAAGACTGAAAAATTCGATGAACTTATCAAGTATTGTTCTGGTGTTATCAACCTCTTAACAACTGTATAAAAAATGTCCATTTATAATTTCAAGACACTACCAAATCCTTCTCATCATCGTAGTCAGTCATTGATAAGATATTCAGTTTGTTATTCTTTGTAGGTTTCTTGCAACCGAAATGTCTAACGTGTTGTTCGCCAGCATCCCAAAGAAGTACACTTCCTCCAATTCTTCTTCCACATATCTCGCACATTGTGCTTTGATCGACATTGACTTTCTGATTTTCCTTTTGCATCAAATCCAAAGCAGTGGATACTCTTTCAACATCTAAAAGATTCTTCTCTAGCTGCACTATACGCTTTTGCTTTTGCTGTATACGAATAGATTTTGTAAGGTAATTCTCCAAGTCATGTACTTTGAAACTTGGCATTAGATCAAGCACAGCAGAGATTGGCGTTGACGTTGTGGTAGACGACAACAGACGTAAGGTCGAATCTTTGTCATTGTTACGTTGTAACAACGACAGCAGTTCCAAAAACAGTTCTTGTGTGTTGTGTTCTCTAATGTATTGTATTGCCAACGCTGGTTTCTTAAGGCTATTGACTTGGATGTCGAGCACTTGCTTATGCAACCCCATTCCTGACAAGATAAAAGATTTTAAAAGAATCAATGATGGAGAATCAGACGATGGGAACTTGCTCAAGACATTTCTCTTGTCATAGTTCCCGATTTGGAGAAACTTATACATCTTCTTGTACACAAGATCATCTGGATCTGGCTGCAGTTTCTCAAGATATAGCAGCGCCAATTTCGTATGGAAAATCGTAGCCTTTTCATGAAGCTCATAGACGATATACTCAAGAAACATTCTTTCTAGAGTGTCGTGCTTCTCCAAGTATTTCATCACGGTATATCTGTCAAATTCATCCGAATATGGTGAGTTGATAAAAATTTGAATACCGTACCCTTCTTCTTTATCAATAGCAGGTGAAGCATATTTCATTATCAAGTTCAAGTTATCGTTCTTGAGCCTTTGTAAGTATTTCACCACTTGGTCAGTTGAAGTGTCACTAAGCATATGGAGAGCTTCTTCGTGAAGGCCTCGTTTAAAGTAAAAATCAATGAGCTCATCCACGGCATGGGCCTTCTTTAATGTAGTGACAACAAGTTGAGGATCACAGTGGTTGTCAACGCGAATAAGGGATCCAATCAAACCAGGGTTTATCAGTGTATAACACTTGAATAGTGTGGTATCGACAGCTGTTCGGATTTCGTCGATGGAATGATTAGAATCTGTGAACAGGTCCAACGTAAGTGAACCATTTTTATATGGAAGTTTATTCTCTGGTGCATTAATCAGCTTGGAGATCTTTCTTCTGCAGTCAGATAGGAAATATGTCAGTAGTTCTACTGATTTTTTATCGAGCTCGTCCTCGTTTGATATCGATATATCCCTTTGAGAAATATAGCGAGGGTAAAGTTCAATAACTTCCAAAGGACATGCGCAGAATTCGATGAACTTGTCCATTGCTGAGGATATATCTCCCCTTTTGAAAAGATCAGTGGCCAGTTGGACTTGTAACTGCCTTAACTTCAAATGCTTCTCTTGATAGTTCATTTGACTTATAAGGTCAATGGCACTTTGGATATCTGATATTGAATTGATGATCTCTTTGTCTGGTTTCAGCACAAATTTGGAAATTGAAGTCTTTGAGACTGTAACTATTTCTCTATCATATGTAGCAACAAGCAAGAGCTTATCTACCTTTTGGGTAAACCAGTGCTTGTTCCTTTGAATATCATATGCGTGAATGTGATTACCAGTCTTTGCAATAATGAAAGGTTCCACAATTGCTTGAGCATCACCAGTAAATGTCATTCTTTTAGGGCCCAATTTCTTCGAGTAGAGTAGCTTGGATGACCCCCTCGACAATATGATGCCCTGAGAGGAGTCCAAGATAGAAACATTCTTTGTTAGGATTGAAAACCCTGAAGATGGAACATCCAGTTTTGTTGTACTTTCATCATTCTCATTAACACGGTAAAAGCTTGTATTTGACGCTGCTATTACACCATCGGCAACAAACTTAACAGCCACCAGCTTCTCTGCAAACTTGTGCTGTGCAGTCATCTCCAGATGATCCCAGTAAGTGTAAACAATCAATGTGTACTTTGTAGCTATCGCCAACGATGGCTGCTTACCATGCTTAACATCAAGGGCCAGAATGTCTTTAAAGGGCAGTTTTTCCAACTCATCAAAAGTCTCATCATACACAGTCACTTCTCCACCAGCCAACACGACGTAGTTCGACGAGATCTGACTAATATGCTCTATAGGCGCTCTCGAAACCGGGATGGATGTTTGTAATTGCAGTGTATCGCTGTACTGTACTATATGACCATCTGATGTCCCGACAAGCGTGAACTTATCAGTGTGAAGCACTGAGCTTGGCCATCCTTCCAGTGGAGATTGCGCTATCTGTGTGATAAACGGTTGCTTCATATAGACGAAGAGCTGTTGTTCTTAGCTATTTATACCGTAATTGCCCATGGAGTTGCGATAAGGTGAGGAAATTGAAAATTGATTTCCCTCACCACACACAAACACCACAACAAGGCACACAGGCGGACAGACAACCATGGAATCAACACATGAAACGTTACAGCAGCTGCTGAACTATCCTAACAAGGCCACACACCAACTTCAACAGATACGGCGTGCTGACATTGTGATTGCATCTCAAAGGAAGTCACTTGTGAAAGCGCAGGCAAACGTTGAAGCGTTGACATCACAGTACTCAAAGATGCTGAGTGCAGTTCGGGGTAAGAAAGGAACCGTGGATATACAACACGCTGCAGAGATGATAGACCAAGAGTTGAGAGTTCTAGAGACTACACAGCGAATCATACATGAGAATAAGCAGCTATGAGTATTAGGATTAGAGTGATCTGTATGATGAAGAATATTAGGAATGAAGAGCCGTTATAAATAATGGCGTTGACAGGAGATGGTGCCGTAGTTCTGACTATGACTTTATCCGAGGCCAAGTGCAGCCTTTTCCCACTTCTTATTTGCAATCCAGCCTGAGTTTATCACTTTCAAAGCATCTTTCAAGTTCATTGGTTTCTTCAATGTTTTATTGCGTTCCACCAAGGCACTATAAACCACGGGGTAGTTTTCCTTTGAGAGTTTTAACGAGTTATCAAGACAGCGTTGCTTTGCCTGTAGTTTCTGTTCCCTGGTACCGTTGGTCCAGGCTGCTCTTCTCTTCTGCCAGACTTCAGGGCCCTTCGTGAAGGGGGTCTCGCCTTGACGGAGCGCATCGGCTTCCTTCACAGCGTCGAATTCTGACCATAAGACGAGGTTCGTCTCAGAGTCTTCTCTTTCCATTGCTGTTGTAGTCATAGTGTTACTTGTAGTGTCGTCTGCTATACTCTGTGGGGAATTTTGTTCCAATACCGATGGATCCAGGGAACTGCTTGAAGTGACGATGAACAGTTCATTAACAACTTCGTCGCTACTGAGGGCGTCTTCTGCAAATTGCCTCAGCTTATGGCTAACAAGACTTAGACTCAGCGATGCTCTCAAGAAGAGGGTCTTTACAGCCTTCACAAACCCACTTTTCGACTGCGCCTGCTGTTGTTGTAGAGCTTGCTCCGCTTGTTCCTTCGATACACCTTGTGACTTCTGTGACCTCACGCTTTGCTTTGTAGCTGGTCTGCTGAGGGAAGCCTTCGACATTTAACCTATCGCTGTGATGAGCAACTATGAGCTGTGATGCATCAAAAGTCAAGAACTCGAAGAGAGAAGTATGGCAAGGCTTATAGAGTGAGATGGATGAAGAAGCTTTTTCTCGTCCTATGTGCCTGTCTGTCTGTCTGTCACTCTTTCTCTCACAGTCACGCAGAAACAAAGAGAAGAAATATACAAACAACAACTAAGATGACTGCAACGAGTACTGTTCTTTCCTCCGACACTACCTTGTCTATGTGGATGTCCCAGAAACTCCTCGAATACCCTAATGGTCGTTCACTTATGGCTGAAAAGATCGAAATTCATAAAATCTCCCATCAATATACCCGTCAGCAATTTCTCTGTCTTCCTGCCTAATGTCCCCGTCCCAAATAACTTTCGCCTACTTGCGCAGTCCCGGTAAACTGCCACAGGGCCTGCCTAATTACTCCAAAGTTTCCACCAAGAGTTTGTCCCCCAGCCCAGCGGAGTTTACTGATGGTCCCAGTAAGCTGCGGAAAATCCTAAAAGAAGTTCCCATGGAAGGAAGAGACGCAAAGTCACAACCTTCCAAGGCCGCCCGGGAGCTTTGGTGTGTTCCGCTTTCTTTTTCCAACGCAGCGTTTTTCCTTCCAGGGTTCCGGGCGGGGGAGAAGGGGGCAGGCACAAATGTGACACCATCGCTAGGCTCAAGGTGAAGGTGTTGATTTTACAGTTCTCTACAGAGATGAGCTTTTACAGTTGGAAGGAGCGAGAGACAGTGGAGGAAAAGAAGAAGTGGAAAGAAAAGAAGAACACACAGTACAGTTTATTATGTTATATAGTCGATTAGGAGGAAGATTGCTGACTTGTAGGATGAGAGGGAGAGCATCGCTACTGTTCCTTCACTCTTTTCCATGCTGTCTTATCAATCTTCCAAGCCTCTCCCTTGACGTTCTGGGATTGTTCCACAATCTCATCCAGTCTTCTCTTCTTGGTTCCAACGTCGTTCATATCGTCAACGGAGCTTCCCTTCTCACCGTACCGTACGCCGTAGAGGGCCAGGCTCATACCGTCGTGGCCCTTCCACGAGCGTGAGTTAACACCGTTGCGGTACACACCCGTGTACTTGACAAGCGGTGGTAGGACGATGAGATCAACGTGGATGTCACCGCCAATGATGTTGACGAACTGACGAAAGTTTGGGACACTTTGAACGATGTTGCTCTTGTTCGTCAAGTTTCCCGGTGTTTGCTTCTTCATTTTGATCTCTTCTTGCTCCAGCTCCTCATCAACAGCTGGTAGGAACCCATTGTGCTTCAAGATCATCAGAATGTCAGAATCATCGGTATAGATATCCGTACCCCAAATCGCACGGTGTTGGTAGTTCTTGTTGTTCTTCAAGTCACCAATCAGCCATGATGGAATACGCACTGTGATGATGCTATTCACGTATTCCCTCAACTCGGGAATGAGTGGAACAATGTCATTGTTCAAGAACTTGACATCCTTGAAGATGTTCAATTGTCTATAGGATTCCCTTCTCGGGAACGGCGTGTATATCAAGGAACCAAGGTGGGTTCTAGGGAACTTTGAAGCATACGTTAAAACATCAGAGTTATCAACGATGATGTCTTTCTTAACGGTTGGTCTCGGAGCCTCAGCTTTCTTTGAGACAGTAGATACAGTAGAGATAACAGGAGTGGATTGTGCTGGTTGCTTCTTGCTTGGTGGTTCCTTCTTCTTTGCGCCCTCTTCTTTAACACTTGGTTTGGTTGGCTTCACAGCGTTTAATCTTTTGATGATGCTATAGCAAAGATAAGTCTTGTAATTTGGATTCTTATGCTTCTCAATACGTGCTCTTCTCTCGTGCTGTAAAATATCATGTTTTTCCTCGTCTGTGAAGTCATTAATACCGTACTTCTTCTCGTAGTATTTGATGATTTCCTCATCACTTTCGCTATCAATATCAGGCTTTGTAATCTCCTCTTTCAATGGTAGGGTACGAGGACTGGTTTTCTGCGTTGAAAAGGTGAATTGGACAGGTGGAGTGAGTTTGCTCGTAACTATAGGCAGAGATTCTACCGCTTGTTGTTGTTGTTGTTGTTGTTGTTGTTGTTGTTGTTGTTGTTGTTGTTGTTGCTGCTGCTGCTGCTGCTGTTGCTGCTGTTGCTGTTGAATTTGAGCCTGTGACTGAGCTGGGGTAAACGCTTCAGTTTGTGTCACCGTTGGTTGTGACATAGGACTGTCAATATTGTTCAACAGCTTTGGAATCTTAACCTGGGATCCAGAGACTTGTGTAATGTTGTTCAAGAATGAAATGGGTGGTAGTCTAATACCCGTGCCTTGTCCCACTCCAGACGCATCAGAAGACGGATTGGACTTCTCAGGAGCATCCATAAGAAACGAGAGATTGCCTCGAGGATTTCTAGCGATATTGGTATCGTTGTTTGACATCGATTTCTTTAATGTGTTGTGGATACAGAACCCTGTTCCTCTTAGAGTGGATGGAATTGTTGTGTTGATGTTTTCCGGGATTTCCCTCATTACCCCCGAGAAAAAATACGCAGTTCGGGCCCCATACACAACTCATGGATGAAGTAAACAAGTGAGAGACTACGTGGAATAGAGAACGTTCAGTACATCATACACGTCCAGTGTTACAATTGAAGGATCTTGCAATGCTCAGCACACGACAATTCATCTCGATAACAAGGGAAAGCTTGTTCTTACAACCACCAGCACCATCGCTAACTGCTCCCGGTGAATCACAAAAGGCTATCGTATCAAGAATGGCGCAGATCATGGAATCCATCGACAACGAGACCACTCCATATTCGTCCTTCATCAAAGTATCACAGCTAGCAAAGCATTGTATTGTAAGTTACGACCTGGAGTCTGAAACAGTAGGATTGAACGATCTCTTTGTCCTTTGGGAGATCCATCTCACATCTTTGCTATTTGCACAAGAGCTTTCGTTAGCCCAGCAGGAGGCAAAGAGGCTATCGACAGCATTTGACTCTCTTCTGAAGTCTCATAGTATAGATCAAACTACAAAGAACTTGCTATTTCCGGAGCAAGTGCCATTTAGCCTGAAGCTGTTGTTGATAAGACTTCGAGCAGTGGGACCTTCAATCACCGTGCTAAACGACAGTTACCTTCTGCTGTGGGAAGTTCGACAGGAATTCGTAAAGTCCACTGACCTTGAGTACAAAGAGTTTTTGAAGAAACAAATTACAGCGTTGAGTTACGGCGTGGGTGCTACGCTAATAGCCAAGAGAGAATACGCCACCTTTCTAACAATGGTGGAGGGAATTGAGCATAATGCCAGAATGAAATTACTAGCCACTCTTATTAGTCTGATGAAGGGAGACTGGGATCTTGCGGATGAATACTTTAATCAAATCCTCGATCACCTGGAGCAATTCTCCGAGGAACTATCAACAGTGATAAAGACGACAAATCCTGTTCTTGATTTGAACAATCCAGACACAGGAATAGACAATGAGCTTAAGATAGAGAAGCTAGACGATCTTCTAGAAAAGGTAAAAGATCAAATGATCACGGGGAGAATCGTGTGTTCATTATGTGCACTGTTTGAACTGCAATTGAGAGAAGTTGATGGGAAAGATTCGTTTCAATCGCAAACAAAGGGTGATATCAGCAATATTATGAGTAAGCTGTTCACTATATGGACTTCAAAGACTAGTAAATTGTATACATTTGAATAACACTTGGTTATAATTGATGATTTCCATCACAGGTTTGCATTAGGATGTGAACGGCCCTGGACACCTAGCATATGACACATATTTTGTTGCCCTAATAAGATCACATGACTTGCCAATAGGGTTGCAATACACATTGGTTGTCACACCTTTATGGTATGCACCACAACTATTTCAGCTTTTTGGAAAATCGATGCACCTTCAATTCAGAACACCTGGACACCATGAAATTTTCCAGTAGTATCACCGAAAAATTTCTTAAACTCTTCAACTTGTTCAGTTCAAATCCATTAACACAACTGATACCCCATATACTCATCAAAGATGTCTTCTAACAGATCTGCCTTGAAGGACGTTGTCACCCGTGAATACACCATCAACTTGCACAAGAGACTCCACGGTGTCTCTTTCAAGAAGAGAGCTCCAACTGCTGTCAAGGAGATCAAGAAGTTTGCCTTCAAGCAACTCGGTACCTCCGATGTTAGACTCGACCCAAAGTTGAACCAAGAGATCTGGAAGAGAGGTATCAAGGGTGTTCCATTCAAGCTCCGTGTTAGAATCTCCAGAAGAAGAAACGAGGAGGAGGATGCCACTGAGAAGTTGTTCTCTTACGTCGAGCCAGTCCAAGTTGCTTCCGTCAAGGGTTTGAACACCGTTGTCGTTGAGGAGGAAGAAGAGGCTTAAATGCTTTTTTGATTACGACAAAACTAAACATTACGATATTTTTAATTTGCAATGGTTTTTTGAATCAGTGGATTGTAGTGTAGACAGTGCTCTTCCACGGAGTAATTGGTTTTTTCCCACTACTCAGACATTGATGTTTGATTAGTAGGAATCCAATTCTACTCTGTGTTATTGTATTTTAACCTTCTTTTGAAGGATCAAACAAAGGCTAAAGAAACAATGGATGAACACTACAGTAAGACTAGAGTAACACTACTTGTTGCAGTTCCAGAGGAGTGAAGAATGTATACATTATAGAGCTATCTAAAACAAAGCTAAACACATGTTAGACATGGTCTGAAGTGAATAATCCATCTATCGCAACACAACGTGTACAACCAGTTATAATCAGTGTAACTATGACATAACGAACCGTTCATCACAAAAAGGTAAGATATAACATCTACCTGGACTTTTGTTCATATGGTTCAAATAAAAAAGAAAGTTTTCATCCCTTAAGACAACTGGTGTGTACGATGAATTGATGGACACGAGTTAATACTTACACATTCATAATTCCTCTTCGCAATGCCTTTTGACGATGATGAGAAGAGGAAAGAAAACTGGTTGGTGTTGAAATTTTTCTTTTCAGCATCTTGGAGGCTCCTGTAGGCGTGGAAAAAGTTCTAGCCGCGAAATTTGGGCCTACCGTTAGGGCTTTTACTGAATAGCGGTCATATGATTGAAGACAATGGAGATCTTAACATTGACATTTATTAGAGGCCGATGATCATATTCTAATCTCTCTTGAAACTCTGTACTGGATCTCGATAACTTGGCCGAAGCCCTCATCCCAAGGCCTCTTCAATATGAAATGCTCGTCAAAGAAGTCAATGAGCTGTGCAAGATGTTTACACTCCATCAACTCTTTGTATAGCGCTTTTGAGATTTGGCCTTCCAGCATACATGCCAGATGATGCTGTGTGAGCCTATATGGTAGCCCAAATGCCGTTGCGTACTCTACAAATCTCTCAACACATCCCCATGGCGCCTTGCTGTAACCGGCAAAGAGAGCTGGGTTGGCCAGTATACCACGAACAGCCATCACACCATCACATCCAGTTATCTTTGCGATTCTGTTGCAGTCCTCAAGTGAAAAGCAGTCACCGTTTGCCACAACGGGGATACTGACAGCTTGTTTAACCGTCTTAATGGCGTCGAAATTAGCAGGCTGCGAAGATCTAGTAGATTTGGTACGTCCATGAACAGTTATAAAGTCAGCACCAGCAGCCTCAACTTTCTTGACAAATGCAATGGTCTCTTCAATGTCGGGATGGATTCTGATCTTTGTCTCAAGGGTCACTTTGGAGCCAAATTTATCCTTGACAGCCTTGACCATAGTGGCAACGAGTTCTGGCTCGGACATTAGAGCAGCACCAATACCCTCTCTCACTTGTTCCTTGATGGGACAACCACAGTTGATGCCAATAGCATCAACGTATGGATGTATCATCTCTACGAACCGTAGAAGGTCAGTAACATTGTTTGTACCAACCTGAACAATGAGGGGAGCGTCAAAGTTGTTGGTGGTGAAATCACTAAGTCTGGCTATACCGTTCCGTACGAATTCACGAGCCAGGATCATCGGAGAGTAGACTATATCACAGTTGTAATGACGCACAAGGGCTCTGAATGGCAGTTTTGAGTAACGAACCATTGGACCAGCAATATGTGCTGGTCTTCCTTCAGCTTTGCATCTCTGGAATATTCTCAGTGGGTTGTTCTCCGGGTCTCTTGGTGTTAGTTGGGTCATTTTGATATTCGGCTTCGATCGCAGGATCATATAACGTCAAATGGATCAAGATTAAGAAATATCAGGGGACTGGTTTCCTTTTATTTGACAAATGTGTCAAAAAATCACGATATAATTGGCTATCCAGATAAGGAATCTTGAACACTCGTTGGACAGAAGCACCCGTTGGATTAACTCATCGACTCGAAATTTTTCTTGATCGCTAGCTGGGATTTACTTTCCTAATCCGGAATTCCCAAGCGACCTGATAAGACAACTCCGAAAATCCAGTACATCCATACACCAATGATGCCGTCGGGACGCGGTAGGAGCACTAATAGTGGTTCCGAAAATTTTCTGTGCCAGAGCGATGAGTTTCAAGGTGGATAATCCCCATTGGATAAAAGAACATAGAGAATTGTTCTTTGGGAGTTTATTGGATGACTGAAGACACATTAAAGAGATCTGCCTCTCCTGTTGATGGGCCAGATGCCAAGAAATCGAAAACGGTAGAGGTTGAAACACCTAAGAAGGGTATTGCCTATGTCAAGAAGGAATTCATTGTCGATGCCAAATCCGTCGAAGTGATTGATGATGATTCAGCTGAACAGAACGGAGATAGAACCGAGGAGATCTCATCTTCTAATGGTAAAAAGGGTAAAAGAACCAGAGGTCAGAACAAGAACCGTGAGCTGAAACAACAGGAAGAAGAAAACAAGCTATGTTCATCATTGATTGATCCTGACGCCAATAGAACGTGTAAATACGGTGCAGAGAAGTGCCGCTTTGTTCATGATGTGAAAGAGTACCTTGCACACAAGAAACCAGAGATTGAAGGTGTATGCCCTGTATTCAATGCGTTGGGATACTGTCCAGCAGGATTCAAGTGTCGTTTCTTACACTCGCATATGGATTCTGATATGAACTTGATAAAGGACCACGTCAAGATGCAAGAGGCAGAGAAGACCAATTATGAGCTCAATGGTGTCACATCTGATCAGAAGTTTGCGTTGATGAAGAAGAAATTCGAATTCAAATATGCTGATGAGGTTTGTAAAATTATGAACAATATTCAGGATGATAACAAGAAGAAAGATGCTGCAAGAAAGAAAAACAGAGATGATGACGAGGACTCAACTGCACAGGATGATACGAAGGAGGCAATGAACAATTACTTAGAGACAAAGTTCTACGCTTCAGAAAAGAAGAAGTTGGACTTGGTGAACAAGAAAATAGTTTCACCTTTAACCACAGTTGGTAATCTACCATACCGTCGTTTGATGCGCACATTAGGTGCAGATGTCACGTACTCCGAGATGGCTTTATCATTACCTTTGATTCAAGGTACCAACTCAGAATGGGCTCTTCCAAAGGCTCACTGTACTGAGTACCCTGGATTTGGTGTCCAGATTGCAGCAGCAAAGCACTGGCAAGGTGCCAAGGCTGCTGAGGCCATCGCTAGATACTGTCCAAACGTTTCAGAGCTCAATTTGAACTCTGGTTGTCCAATTGATCTGTTATACAGACAAGGTGCTGGTTCTGGTCTTTTAGACCAACCTGCCAGATTGATTAGAATTTTGCAATCCATGAACTACTGCTCTGGCGATATCCCAACAACGCTGAAAATCCGTATGGGTACAAGAGATGAACATCCAATTGCCCATAACTTGGTGAAGAGAGTTGTTAATGAGACTCAAACTGCTGCCATCACCTTGCATGGTAGATCTAGGCAACAGAGATACACTAAGGAAGCTAACTGGGACTACGTTGCAGAAGTTGGTAAGGCACTTCGTGATGCCGAGCACGAAGTTGCTGATGATAAGGACAGACGTGATTTCCAAAGAATCAATTTCGTTGGAAACGGTGATTGCTACAACTGGGATGATTGGTACAGAGCAACCGATAACGAGTACATCGATAGTGTTATGGTTGCCAGAGGTGCATTGATCAAGCCATGGATCTTCGAGGAAGTTGACTCTAAACAATATCAGGATAAGTCAGCTACTGAGAGACTAGAGATGATTAAGACTTATGCCAACTTTGCCCTTGAGCACTGGGGCTCAGATGAATACGGAGTAAACCTTTCAAGAAGATATCTCTGTGAGTTTATGAGTTTCTTCCACAGATATATCCCATACGGAATCTTGGAGAGATACCCTATCAAACTGAACGAGAGACCTCAAAACTGGAAGGGAAGAAACGAGCTCGAGACTTTACTGGGTAGTAATGATTACAAAGATTGGATCAAGATTTCTGAAATGTTCTTGGGACCAGCAGACGACGGATTCAAATTCACACCAAAGCACAAGAGTTCTTCCTACGAAAATAACAGAAATTAATATACAGTGATGTTTCTGTTAATTAGCATATTGAAGTTATGTTCATTTTTCTTCCTTCACCTCGCTATTCAGTCATTCTTCTTCTCAGTAGCAGATTTCTCAGAGACCAATTGATCCGAAACGGAATCGTACTCCTTGCGCAAACTTTCCGCTTGTACTTTCAAGATTTCAATCTTCTCCTCTTTCGCTTGGAGCTCCTTTTCCAATGCCTTGACCTTTTCATTGGAGCTGACGGCGTCAGGCTTAGATCTAACGTCCTCTTTCAACTGGAGCAATTCAGCAACCAAACCGTAGGTTCTTGAAACGATAAGCGTCAAAAACAAAGTGAACCCAGTCAAATACAAGTTTCTCTGCGCATAGAATCTTCTAGCCTGGATCTCTGAGCGGTCTGTTACAAACGTTGATTGTAACTTCGCACCTGTCTCAGAATCAGCAAAGGCGAGGAGTTCCTCATTGATTGACGTGACGCGGTTCACGGAATCGATGAAGAGAATAAGAACAAACACCAGGATGCACCTAGTGGCAATCGTCACTTCCCTGCTTTGGAATGGACGGGAGATGCTCTTAATAAGAGGGCGGCGGATAGACGATGGCAACGGCAGTGACAGCAACGTGAACAGTGCCATTTCAACCACAAGGAGAACAAATACCAGATTGTAATAGAGCGCCATTGTTCTTTCTCCTTATTCCACGTATTGTTATTGTCCTTTTTAGCTGTTTAACTCTCTTGATATATTTATCAATCAGAGAATTTGAAGGCCTTATATAAATCACCCGCTCAAAGGCACACACGAAAAACCGAATTAGCAACCTTTGTTTCCTTTGTGATGGTGTCAACTTCCACCAGTTTGCGAACAGCACACAGCCGAGCTGAACCGGGCAATGGCGTCGTGCTCCCATGAATTTCAGGCACACGAAGAGCGATGAGAAGAGCGCACTTGAAACAGCCCGCACCGCAGTTTAATTTTGTATGACGTAGGTTGACGTTGATTCGATGCCGTTAAGCCATTGGGCATCGCCACTAGTTCGAATTCCAAGGGCCCGCTTAAATCAGATCTCCACTGTTTACACGACATAGCTTGATAACGCAACTGGTAATAATAATCCATTCCTTCACATAATCATGCTACGTTTCTACGGATCTGGGAAGGGGGTCAGTGTATGGTGGCATTTTGCATGCGAACCTATATCCGTGCACATATGACCGGGATTCCTTAAACGTACAGGCGGTGCCTGAGTGGCGATGGGATCGGTTTCGGAATCGTGCCAAAACACAGCTTTGGGTACACTGGTGCTATTCGGTGCCTTATCTCTTGGAATTTAATAGGCTAAACAGCATTGGGGTCAACCTGGAGCATGCGATTATACCGTCCCCTGCCTCACCTTCCTTGGAGTCAGCCTGATTGGTAATCCAGATGCTGAATAACTTCTATGTATCCGGTATGCAGCACTAGTTCGGTGTTCGGTGCAATTTGTGGCCTTCCCTGACGATCCCGGTAGAGCCACTCCGCCACTGTTATTGGTCCATACGCCCTCGAGTGTTGCCCAACCGTCAGGTGCATGCCCTCGGAATTTACCCTTTCCGGGGCGGGAGTGTACCCCCTGTGATTGGCCTCCCAAGTACCCAAAACGATAAAATTGGGCGGGCGAAACCAATTTTTCAATCTCGCCAGATACAGGAAAGTACCCTCTTCTCACGAAAACCAAAAAAGCAACAGGGAGTTCAAGTCCTTTACAAATCCCACACATCCTCCTCTTAACATATAGAGAGTACCACAGGGGGGAAAACAGTCCAAGGTCTATATACATCCATACATTACCCAGGTGTAGAAGCTTTGAACGATTGAAGGTAAAATAGAGTGAGGACAACATCCATTTGCACTGTTATACGGAGAAGGGAATACACAGTCATATTTTCCTCTCCTTTCTCTGCCTTATATCTTCGGGTGAATTTTGGTCCTTGATTCTTTGGCTGTGGCGGTTTAATTTGCCTTCCATAGAAGTCGGTTGTTGTCTTATCGTTGGGCTCTGAGTGCTGTGTTGTTTCCACTTCCATCCCTCTGCAACGCAAATCACCGGAGTTACAAAACCGATTTTTCAATCAGTTGATATTTAAAGTCTCTGCTGTTTGGTGGTCTTTTTCGTGTGTGCCTTGTATAGAACCATAACCGGGAGAGCTGTACGTTGTTGGAATTTGTCAGTGAATTTCAATCTCATCATCATCTCCGCTTGCAAAGGTTGCGCCATCACCAAAGGGGGAAATTACACGCCAACAAGGTCGACGTGGAAAGAAAGAAAAAACAAAAGGAAAACACTAGACGATGAATAACGGAATGTTCAACGCTGCTCCAGAGTCACAGCCCATTGACATATCGTACCAGAGACGTGGCTCAGCATTTGGCCAGCTGCATCCGCAGCAGGCACACCTTCAGCAGTCGGTCAACGGACGCTCTAACTTTAGAAGGGACTCCGTAGCGCATTCACAAGGTGTCGGTGGTATATCGTGGGGCTCCGTCACCATAGGCTCGTGGTTGAAGGATGAGGTGCTGATGCAAAACCAACTGAACTTGCAGAACCAAAATTACCAACAATCCATGTCTCCTCCTTTACAGGCCTCATATCTCCCTGATTTAGAGGCAAACTACTGTAAGGACTACTCCTGTTGTGGACAGTTGCTCCCGACGTTGCACGATTTGCTCAAGCATTACGAAGAATCGCACATCTCTCCAACGCCACCAACGCATCAACCGAAACCCATACAAAACTTTGATACTGTATCGACGACTGATGTGTTTATTCACAACAACATTAACAACCAGATGGGTATTCAACAGCAGATGCGTCAACAACAGCTTCAACCGCAGCATAATCAACAAAACCAGCAGCATCAGATACAGAGCCAATTGCATGGTCAGCAGCAGGTACAACATCATCATCACCACCACCATCACCAGCAGCAGCAACGTATACAACAGCAGCAACAGCTTCAACAGCAGCGTAGTCAATTTGGTTTCACGCAGCCGTCCTTTGATAATCAGCAGATGAACCAGATCCGTGACTCGTTATCGCACCAGGGAGGGTTAGCTGAGATCCCAGAACAGTCGAGGCTAGGTCCAGGTCAACAGCTCAATAATAGTCAATTCGACATTTCAGTGGGCAATGATTCACAATTTGCACAACATTCTCAACAACAATCAGCGCCATTCCCAATGTCGTTGGATAACGACGATTCTGCGATGGATCTAGATGACGAGCAGGAGGAGCAGTTCATAGACGATCCCTCACGGAACTTGTACGTTGCACAAGGCTCTGAAAAGCCGTTCACGTGTCCTGTTATAGGTTGTAATAAGACTTATAAGAACCAAAACGGGTTGAAATATCACAGAATTCATGGACATCAAAACCAGAAATTACACTTGAATCCAGATGGCACCTACTCCATAATAGATCCAAATGATGGAGCCGGGTTGGAGCAGGATAAGCCTTACAGATGTGAAGTTTGTGGTAAGAGGTATAAGAACCTGAACGGATTGAAGTATCATAGAGGTCACACCACGCATTGAAGGCTTTTGAACTTTTAGATCATGGAAAAAACAATAATAATGTGTTTGTTTCTCTATTATCAACATCCCTCTCTCCCTTCGGTGGTTGTTTTCCCTTGTTGATTATGTTTTATATTTTGGCGTCAATGCTGCTTCCTGGTGTCTGTGATTGTTTTGTTTTATGTTGTCTGCTTTTGTCTCTTTTGTCGGTATTCGCTCACTGTGATCTCGGATAGGTTTTAATCACGGTGTACGGTTTGTGTTATATATTTTCTTCTAGTGGTGAGGTCAGGCTCGGATTCCCTTAGACTTCTGCTTTCAAGCTTGGATATGGTTGTCTATTCAAACTTTAATACTAGGGACGGTGATAGCATGTTTGTTTTGTTATGCGTTATTCTCTACGTCTATACTATACTTGTTGGAAAATATGCATATGGATCATGAGTATAAAGAGTCTTAGAGGAGTGAGGTTGTAGGGCATGTTCCCCTTTTGTAGTACTATCGGCACCTAGCATTGAAGGTTTGTTTGTAAGAAACTCACCAGTGCATGATGCCCTTCGAGATTCGACGGTCCTGGGGGAAGGACTCGTATTCACTGGGATTGACCAACTGCTGATTGTGAGCTTGCGAAGAGCCAGCCATATTGGTCATGCACTGAGTCAGGCGTGTTGATTTGCCCTAAGACTTTAGTGACGGTATCATGTAAGCTAGTGGGCTCTGAGTATGTGTGTGCAGATATGTCCCTCTGTGAAATTGGTTGTTCCAATTAATGTAGAGCTTCTAGCCATGGACAAACCACGAATGCAATATCAGCATACATTACATGGTTAACGACACTCATATCAAGTGTGTGCCTACTTGCCACAAGCCTATATACCAAGAAGAGTATTCAGCACAACAATTAGTGGTTTCGAAATCATTACGCGGACACGCCATATGTGCTAAATTTTCCATTCCCCGGTCCATGGGTCATTAGGTATAGTTTGCGTATATGTTGACCGCACCAAGGCAAGAGCGGGAATATTCCTCGGCTGTCAAGATGGGGCTTGAGATTGCACATACATGAGGCAACGGAAGCGATAATTAGCTTCAACTGTAAGGTCTCATTATCCTCCGACAGGATGTGTTGTAACATTGATATTCGCTTTGACACAAAGTAATGCCACGTGGTTTATGGGATAGCTCGCTCATGTGCTCCCACTGGCGTAAGCACTCTTGTAAACGTTTCTGTTTTAAAAAGCTGGTGAGCGTGTAGACTAGCAAACATCAAGTAAAACTTCTATCAATAGACTCTCATGCACTTCCCCTAAAAGATCTCACATATATGCGCTTCCCCTAAAACAACTGACAAATGTGCGCAAGTTCTGAGAGACCTATAGTGACCTACTGCACTATAAAGTTGGTGATATACATGTAACGCAATGTATTCGAATTTTACTGAACAGGTGAGAAGCACTGCTCATTGAAGTCACTGTGTATTTACATGCAAACGGTGTATTCCTAACATTTATAAACATAGACACACGATTGAGTACATGGGATACGCAATGATTGCGATTTCTCTCCATGTAACCTAACAGAAAGACGCTGTCAACTACGATGTATGTGTTATGAACCAAGGCTTATGGCTGTTGAGATCTAGGCCAAGAATCGTGCCTAGCACAGATGTTAGTTTCGTTTAGCACTGCATCTTGAGACCAAATTACAAGCTTAATAGACAAACCCTCTATCTCAGGAACAGAAGAATTGTGCTGAGTATTAGTATCCTCCACACCTTCGGCGTCCATGATGTATTTCAAAACGTGGGTCTGGATTATGCGCTTCCTTGCACAAGCATTATAGCACTTCAGCACAAGCATTATAGCACTTCAGCACAAGAACAACCATGTCTCTCTCAGCTGTGTGAACTCTTTTTAAAACCTTCACCTATTAGAACACATGAATCTCGTATGATGCTCCCAGGTCTGCGATGGTGGGGAAACATTCACATGACATCTTCATGGTACTCTAACCAAGGCAAATCACCAGAGCCGTGGCTCATATGCAATTAACCAGGTCCTGGTTCAAGATCCACCGCCTATTTGCGATGCAGATCACACTAACTCGACAGGAAGCAACAAACCATGCACCTCTCTTCACTTAGTTCCCATTGCTCACTGTGTCCTAAAGCTTAATCTCGCATAGCTCCCACCAAACCCAACAACTATGCAGAGGTATGACCATATGACTGTGCCATTTACGCAGGGTGAAGGTATTAAAAATGTGTTCTGCTTGTGAGTGCGTGACGTTTGCATAAACTACGACAGAATTTGGGAAGGCTGCCCTGGACCCTAACTTGTGGAACTGGCGTGTTGTGTAGTGTTTCACCATATTAAAGCATGGAGAGTGTTTTATTTTAAGAACAAATCAATTCACAGACCTAACTATTCTAGTGTGATTTCCTCCAGTGTTGCCAACTGAATGTACTGAATGGGCTGTTGCCTCGCTGCGGCGTAAGGCTAACAATAAACACACACAATATGCACTCCACAAGTGACGGAGAGTCCCAGTTGTCCGATCACCTTTCTGAAAGAGTGGACCGAATGACTGTGTAAAGTCATTGGACAATGGTCATTTCAATCTGGAGAGACCCTGCACAGATGAGTATATGTGGTACTTTTATATTGGCACGTCAAGAACTGTGCAATCTGTCGAAGAATATAAATTGGGGGCCATCTCTTCCAATAGATACACAGTTTAAGCATTTGTAGATTCTGTTGGTAAGTCTACAGACACTTATAAACATAACAGGGAAGTAAACATTCTGAAGGGGAACACAAAATGAGACCTCTACAAACGTTGCTTCTTGGTATTCTTTCAAGCAATTTCTCCTTTGCTCAGTTCTCGGGAGATGGATCTCTTCCAAGTGATTCAGACCCGCCTAGTGTGCAAGCCATGTCTATTGATAACAGTCAACTGGAGTTTGGTCTCAGTATAGGTGGTAAATGGTCCGATGATGCTTCTGGTTTTGCAGCAGCCAATATCACAGATATTAATGTCTATGGTAACTGGGTTCCTGTCAGTACTCAAGCCAGTGCAGTTAGTGGTGGTGACATGGTGATCGACTTGGAAGGGGCTACTATTGGAGATGGTCAGGTCTTCTACTCCATAAATTCAACAGGTGGGGTTGGGGGTTACAACACCTTCTCTCTTAGTGTTGTTGCTGATGTTAAGGAAGAAGACATCAATGTAACCACTGAATTCACGGCTTACTTTGCAGTGTATTACAGCATTTCCGCTAAGCCTGCTGTTTACAGCGCCAGTACAATCATTGACTGGGGTAATTCTGATGATGATGGTGGCTCTGATGATGATGGTGGCTCTGATGATGGTGGTGACTACATTGACACACTTCCAGTCACCACATCCTCTCTTGGTGATAACACCACAGTATATTTTGAGATGTATGCAAGAAATAACCTGTCGCTAGACCTTGCCCAGGGGTATAAGGTTGTCAGTGTTGACATTGAAGGTCAAGGATGGGCACTAGATTCTATTGATACTTCTGTCTATGTGGTGGGAGTAGAGGGGTCCCAACAACCTGAATCCACTGCAGATGCAACAGTTGAGGATGAACCATCGAAAGAAGACTTGAATCCAACTGCACACGTTGTGTATGAACCTGGTCTTGATAATAACCAAGTTTTGCACATCGCTGTTGAAGGTGACTACTTGAAATCACCTCCAATTGACACCACAGAAATGATTAACGCAACCTTTATAGTGACATTTGATGACCCATCTGGTGGTGAGTCAATCACCAAGACCTACTATGCTAACCAGACAATTATTGGTACATCAACAGAGCCAGGTGATGGTGATGGTGATGATAATGGAGGTAGCGATGGTGGTGATAATGGAGGTAGCGATGATGGCAACAACGATGGAAGCGGCTCCGGTAGTGGTTCTGGTAGTGATAACGGTGGAAACGATGATGACAGCGGCTCCGGTAGTGGCTCTGGTAGTGATGACGGTGGAAACGATGATGACAGCGGCTCCGGTAGTGGCTCTGGTAGTGGCTCTGGTAGTGGCTCTGGTAGTGGCTCTGGTAGTGATGACGGTGATGGAAATACCAACAATGGTTCCAACCACACGAGTACTACCACGACATCAAAGAGCGCCACGGAAGATGGAGGCTCTAACAACACCGGTACCACCACAACTACTGGTGGTTCTAACAACACTGGTACCACCACAACTACAAGAGATTCTAACTACACTGGTACCACCACCACAACAAGAGATTCTAACAACACTGGTGATAACACTGCTTCAACAAAAACAAAAACCTCAACTGGTGCAACGTCCCAATCTGCCACTACAACTGCCACTACATCATCCTTTGAGACTGCCAATGCAGCTGTGAACATCCTGGACAGTGTTCAAGGCACTCTAGTTCTCTTGGCTTTGATGCTCTTTTAGACCATTTTCACCATATATGGTTACAGATGATCACTTAGCTCATGGCTTATCTTCGAGTTTCAATACTTCTTCAGATTTTGTTGTCTATCAATGCATTGAAGAAATAGTTCGTGATATCCGAGATATCACTTAAATAATCATCTTATAAAAATAAATATTTACTGGTAAGCCTTTGTCGTAGCAAAGCTCCTAATCTTACGAAGATAGCGAGAGCTTGTATTCTGTATTCCCTCAGAATGTCCTTCGTATTAATGGTCTTATCTTTCGCTTGGTTCTACTTACTTCACAGAATTCAGAACAAACTGCAAGTTGCATTAGTATTTAAACATTACTAATCAGCATATATCTTCAAGCTTTCCTGCTGCTTCTTCAATTTGGCCAATCTACTCTCAAAGTCTGCCTTTGGTTCACCGGCCTGCCATCTCAAACCATAAGCGTAGTGGTCTTCTGGAACAAATTTGTGACCTTCTTGGCCATAAACTTGCTCTCTGTAGGAGCCACCTTCCACAGCGTAGTCCTTCTGAGCAAGACCTCTCTTTTGAAGCTCTGGGACGAGAATGTCCACGATATCTTCAAAGGTTTGGTTGTGTACAACGCTGGTGAAGTTGAAACCATCGATACCAGTTTTTTCGACATACTCCTCGAGCTGATCAGCAACTTCCTCTGCAGAACCCCAGAAGTAGGTACCAAAGTACACGTTCTTAGCAACATAACGTCTTGTGATGATATCACCTTCCTTGTAATACTTCTTGTGCTTGAAACTGGCGACAACTCCTTGAACAGCTGGGTCAGAAATCTTTGAAAGATCCTCATCCCATTCAAACTTACCAAAATCAATAAATGTACTGGCTTGGATAAGTGCACCATCCAAGTCGTGATATCTTAGAACATCCTCGTGCTTCTTGCGTGCCTCTTCGTGTGTCTTACCGACAACAACCTTGACCAAAGTGATAAACTTGAGGTGATCTGGGTTTCTACCATAGACGTCCTTTGCCAAAGCTCTTGTTTCTTCAATTTGTTTGACAACATCACTTGGGACATCACCGTGCAAGAAGACAACTTCAGCGTGCTTAGCACCAAGGTGTCTACCCTTTGGAGAAGCACCAGCTTGGATGATCAATGGAATTCTGCCGGCAGTTGGTTCAGTGATTTGAGGTCCTGGAACTCTGAAGTACTTCCCGTCAAAATTGATTTCTCTGATTCTGTCTGGCTCAGAGAAGACACCTCTTTCTCTGTCAAAGACAACACCATCATCTCTCCAAGATGACAGCAATAACTCGTAGAACACTTGGAGATACTCATCGGTCTTTTCGTATCTCAAATCCTTCTCAGGGTGGATGTTGTTGTCAGCCAACTGTCTTCCAGCAGATGGGAGAACAGATGTGACAACGTTCCAGCCCACACGACCACCTGAGATATGATCCAGAGTGGCCATTCTTCTTGCGAAATGGTATGGGTGTTCAGTCAATGTGGAACAAGTGATACCAAGGGACACGTTTTTGGTCGAAATGGCAACGGCAGCCAAGTAAGCAGTTGGATCATTCTTTGGGAAGTTATTACCAGACTTTGCCGCTTCCTCGTAGTTGAATGGACCACCCCAGCCTTCTGACTTGTATCCACCGTAAACAGCGAGAGAATCACCAATGAATATAGAGTGAATCTTACCACGTTCAGCCAACTGGGCGATTTTCACCCAGTACTCGGCCTTGGTGTAGTCCCTGGAGGTGTCAATTGGATTTCTCCACTGGCCTGGGGAGTGGAGCACTGGTGTCAAAGCTTCAAAGAAGTTAAGGACAAGAACCTTCTTCTCTTTCTTCTGTTTCTTCTGAGGTGGTTGGGTCATTTGATCTGGTGTACAAATTCAAACTACTGAATAAGAAGAACACAGAAGACAATTCTCCGCTCTTTTATAGTGGCTAAGAATTCGTCACACTACCGTGACTCTACTGCTTTCCACCTCTTCACCATCATCACTGGGCGGGAGAAGGTCCGAATTGAGTATTATTGGCGCGATGAGATATGGCGGACCGCTTAAACGCCATAGTTTACAGTGGCTCTAACCGCCGGAGATGCTCATCTCCGGCCGGCAAATTTGAACAGAACTACGACTTTAGCGCGGCGAGCCACAGAGTTTTGGATGTGTCAGATAACATCCGAACATCTCACTCGAGTCTCAAGCTGGTTCCCTCTCAGCAATTGGGGGTTGAATATGAGCGTCACGCGATGGGTAGAAAACAACTGTGGAGCTTCCATCGAGGGAGTTTGTGCTCTGTAGGGCAGTTGAGTACCGAGGAAGTAATTGAGTGAGAGAGTATTGGGAATTGGGTGTAAGAGATATGGCAACAGTGCATGGAAGCTGTGTGTGATGACCACACACGGGAGGTGTGTCCTTAGTATGTTGTGCTTTCAGAGATGTAAGCGTGTGTTTAGCATCACTTCTGGGAGCCAATTGAGTTAATTGTTGTCTCCAAGTGGGACCAGGAGAAGTAGAATATGTCCGGAGGTGGTTGAAAATAGTCATAGCTGTATTATGCATAAGTGGTTCGACACT